CCAAGAGCGGCGAACTTACACCAATGCTCCCACCAAGGTCCGGTGAAAACCAATCCACCTGTTTCTAATGAAAGCTCGGCGGCCTGGACACCAGTGTCTTCGAACCAAGGACGGGCTGGCACAGAGTGGGCCAGAAGACTAGGGCCAGTGGCCGAAACTTTAAACGCTATTCGAGCTCCAGATTCGCTAAGAGGGACTCGAACCGAGTGTGTGACCGCACCAATGGATTCCTCGTTCGGAGAGCAATCCATTGGTGGGGTCAGACGTTCGGTTCGGGTCCCATTTAGCGACCCTGTAAAGCTCAAAATGCGTTTGGGATTTCGACCACCTCCACCGGTCTTCTGGTAGCCGCACTGCGCGGGATCACCCTGCCGCCCCGAGTCGATGGATACCCAAGAACAGTGCGCTCTGACACCGAAGCACAGTGGGCCAGTAGACCGGTGGAGGCGGCCAAAACTCTACGCGCGTTTTGAGCTCCAGGGTCGCTAAACATGACTCGAACCGAACGTGTGACCCCACCAATGAATTGCTCTCCGGACGAGGAGTCCATTGGTGGGGTCACACGTTCGGTTCGAGTCCTGTTTAGCGACTCTGGAGCTCAAAACGCGCCTGGAGTTTTGGCAGCCTCCCCCTGTCTTCTGGCCCACTGTGCGAAGCATCCGTTCATCGCCCTGTCTCTGTCGCACTCGTGCGGCGCCCCGTCGGGGTGCGAGAGAGACAGAGCGATCGAGGCGGCAGCTGTCTCTGCACGTGGCGTTGCCGTGGCGTTGCCGGGCGTTGCAATGATTTCCGGGGCGAGGCCGTCGGCTGGGGCTGTATCGACTGGCAAGTGTGCATTATTAAGACCAGGCCGTGGCGTCCAGCCGGCCAGCCCATGAGCCAGCCGGCCGCGGCGTGGACGGTGGAACCCGGAGGCCGGCCCACAGTAGGCCAGAGGACCGGTGGAGGCGGTCAGAATCCCGGACGCGTTTTGAGCTCCAGAGTCGCTAAATGGGACTCGAACCGAACGTGTGACCCCACCAATGGATTGCTCTTCGAACGAGGAATCCATTGGTGGGGTCACACGTTTGGTTCCAGTCCTATTTAGCGACTCTGGAGGTCAAAACGCGTCTAGGGTTCGGGCCGCCTCCACCGGCAGTCTTGCCCACTGTGCACTGCCCACGATGCACCAGTGTCGAAAGGGTTGCCAGCCCAGCAAGCCGAGCGAGCGGGCTGAACCTGGACATTGTTGCCGGGAAGTTGCCTCGTGGGGCCTGGAAAGCCGGACGATCATTCGCGGTCCAGCCATCATCAGCAACAGCAGGCTGAGGTTGGCAACCCTGTGGACACTGGCGCGTCGTGGGAGTTTTGGCCTACTAAAGGTGGCACCACTGGGCCGGGTAACTTGAGGCGTTTCCCTGCCGCCGTCCGCATGCCGTGGAGGCCGTGGAGGCCGTACGGCCAGGCTGTCGATGAAGTCATGAAGTGCGTCCGGTGCGGTGCAGTCGACTGAACGCGAACCCGGACCGGCCGGCCGGCCGCCCCAATCAGCTGGCGGGGCGCTCGGGTTACGGTGCAGGCACGCCGCAAGGCACCGTGCTCCCACTGTGTGTGGCCGACGCCCCCACCTGCCGCTCCGCCGGCAGACGCATTCCGAAAGTCCTTTTCGCCGTTCTGTCTCTGTCGCGTCTCCACGGGGCGCCCCGCGAGTGCGAGAGAGACAGAGCGACGAGCCTGCTTCAGCCGCCTCGCCTCCATTCAAGATGAAACTTGAATGAGGGAATACGGGCTGTCACGCTGTCACATGACAGGTTCGGTCGATGTCACCGCTGGCATCGGCAGCGACTGGCCGAGTGGCAACTTCGTCGCCGTGCTGCGCCATGCACACCGTCAGCCCCGCCACCCAGAGCATCGCTCGGCGTTTAGCACCGTTTGACCTCTAGCCGATAGACTCAGGAGGGCCGCCAGTGGGCCGGAAGACCGGTGCAGGCGGTCAAAATCCCGAACACGTTTTGAGCCCCAGGGTCGTCGAACAGCACATGAACCGAACGTGTGACCCCACCAATGGATTCCTCCTTCGGAAAGCAATCCATTGGTGGGGTCACGCGTTTGGTTCGAGTCCTGTTCAACGACTCTGGAGCTCAAAACGCGTCCGGGGTTTAGGCCGCGCCCACTGCCGGTCGGTTCGACGTTGTCGCCTGAAAGTAGGCAAAAGGTGTGACATATGGACGCCCTATCGAAACACAGACGCCCTAGCATGGAGTGCGAGAGAGACAAAGCGACAAAGGGATCCTCGGAATCAAGTGTGTGACATTCGTTTCGTACATAACAGCGTACCTACCAGCGTACCTACAATGGGATTCCCTATGAAGATACGTACGTTGTTCTGTCAGATGATCACTCAAGTGGCTCCCGGGGGAACTGTGTCCATGGGGGCTTTTTCCAGTGGTTGACCCAACTACAACTGCCACGCCCCCTACCTCTACCCCAACCACCGAGAAACACCTTCAGTGGTTTTGTTGTGATTCAGCACACGGTTCCGCGTCAACGTATCCACGCAGACAACAGACTAATTCAGAGAGTAGTTTTCGTCGCTCTGTCTCTCTCGCACTCATGGGGCGTCCCCCATGGATGCGAGGGAAACAGAGCGACGAAAACGACTCTCGGAATCCGTCTGCAGCTGAGCCGGCGCGCCTGTTTGAGGTTATGCCGGTGCCGTCTGTCCTCGTCCCTCAGCGGCCAAAACTCTAGACGCGTTTTGAGCTCCAGAGTCGCTAAATGGGACTCGAACCGAACGTGTGACCCCACCAATGGATTGCTCTCAGAACGAGGAATCCATTGGTGGGGTCACACGTTCGGTTCAAGTCATGGTTAGCGACTCTGGAGCTCAGAACGCGTCGAGTTTTGGCCGCCTGCGCTGGTCTTCTGGTCCACTGTGCGGCGTCGTCCTGCAGTCAATCGACGAGCCCGTCGACCAGGGCGGTCCCGGCACGAAGCAATGACGATCAAACTCACCGGGACGCAGTCAGCTGTCGCTCAGTCGGAACAGTTTAAATGTTGAGGTCGGAGGGCGAGGCTGCCACTGCACTGGCGGACACTGACTGGGGCTGTGCTCTCGACTGGAGGCTGGAGGGGCCGTGGTGGGGGCGGCGGGCTGCTGCAGGTTGAGACACTGCCGGCGGCGTTGTTGAAACTCCGCACGGATACTTAACGCGCGAAAATAATCTGCACTTGAGAGTGACACTTCATGTCGCTGGGTTTGCTCAGGGACCGGCCTTGCCCAGCGCGTTCAAACGACAGTCGTTGCGCGGGTCGATGCAATTTCTCATCACAACGCATCTTGTGCTATGAGAAATTGCCGCGTACGAAATGCTGTTCTGGGGAAGGGAACGACCGCACAGTGGGCCAGAAGACCGGTGGATGTGGCCGAAATTCTAGACGCGTTTTGAGCTCCTGAGTCGCCAAAGGGGATTCGAACCCAACGAGTGACCCCACCAATGGTTTGCTCCCCGAAGGAGTAATCCATTGGTGGGGTCACACGTGCGGTTCGTAGTCCTGTTCAGCTACTGGAGCTCAAAACGCGTCTAGAGTTTTGGCCGCCTCCACCGGTCTTCTGGCCCACTGTGCGTTCGGGTGTCACGTCATTTTTAATTTGTTGGCCGTGTTTGTTGCGAGCGTTCGCTGGAGGGAGGCAGGTTACTCCCAATCCGCGCGGCAGACGACTCTCTCTCTCTCTCTCTCTCTCTCTCTCTCTCTCTCTCTCTCTCTCTCTCTCTCTCTTCCTTCTCCTCTCTCTCTCTCTCTCTTCTGCCTTCCGCCAATCTAACTTCACACTTCACCTGACGTGCACGGCACGAGGTGTCCTTCTCACTCTCACATCACATCTGTTTGTGCGGCTTCCGGCCAGGGATTAACTTGCCGGGCTTCACCTTCGCCAGGCTTCATGTCGTCTGCTATGCGCCGCACTGCAGTCTGCAGTGTAGGGCCCTTCCTCGCCGCACCCCTTCCTGCCCGCCCCTGCCCTGCCATCACTCTCTGATGATACACTGATACCACCCCCATTTCTGTTAGTTTTACAGAAGGACGCGACATCGCGCAGACGCCTTCTCTCGACTCGGCTCCTCATCGAAACTTCGTCAACGGAGGAGCATTTGTTTGGCCCAATTGCAGCTGCTGGACACTGCACAAGATTAGACTTTTTAAAACTCTTGTGCGTGTGACAGCGGCTATTGTTGGTGCTTAAAACTCTACAAACCGAGGGTCATCAAATCATCAATCAAGATCTTGTCCTAATCTACCCTCAAGTCGACGATCAAGTCAAAGAAAAGGAACACTCTACGATCATTTGGAAGCTTTCTGTAGTCGTAAGCTTGTAAGTTATGGGTCTTCCATAAATTTCATTCCCTTCCTCCTTTAGTTTCAAATCCTGAAGATTTCCATCAGAGAGCATCACTGTAAATAATTGCTTTTTTTATGTTCTGAGGAATTCATTGCTTGATGAAGGGACAATGAAAATCAAGCAAATATCAAAATCAATATAATTTTATTAATGGAATAAAAAATTCGATGCATAAAATACAGAATTTACAAAGTTTTAAATTACACTATTGAATCATCAACAATTTTCAAATTTTAACTACTATCACTTTTGATGTTCACAGTTATGACGTCCAACACCTGAATGAGGTGCTACAAAAATAAGCTAATAAAATACAGTCATGTTACATGGTAGTACCAAGTTAAAGAGAATACTCAACACAATTGTATTGCAGGTCATTCAGTCTATAAACTTCTCCTTTGCTAATGTTAAAATTGTACATTAAATTGTAGCCCATCGACTAGTCCATTAAAATTAAAGCACAGAAAATTGTGACATGTATGTATGTACAATTGACTTAACCATGGTATTTAAAATAAATTTTGATTTTGATGTAATGTGATTGGCTGTTCTTTTTTTTTTAATGTTTGATGCCTAGTGGCTGGAAAACACAAGAGTTGCAGCACAACACTCATACAAAATATTTGATGGGAGCTCACTCCTAAAGTGACGCAAGTAAAAGATTTATAATATCAGTTCAAGGGAAGAATATGCATTAAGGCTGCTCACAAACACCGATATAAAAACGAAAATTAACAACAACCTTGATCAAATGGTAAATTTAGGAAACTTAACAATAGATGTCTGTGACCGGCACAGTTCTACAGTGATGAACCAAATTCAACATAAAAGGTTTACCACCTCTTTTTTATTGCTAACATGAATTTTGCAAGATAACAATAGATTATAGAGATACATTCACAATAAATGCAAGCATTGTTGAATGCCAACACTATCTGTGTTCGTTCACTATCTATGAATTGTTCTGTCCTTTCAAAAACAATGGTCAACAGCATGATACGCAAAATTATCTGATGTGTCAAAACACATTAGTCAACACACATAGAAATGTGATAAAAATGTTATTGAAGAGTTAACAACAAATTCATAAACATTCATACTAACTAAAAATGATTCCATTTCAAAATCTCAATCTTCTAGGGACAATAAATGCATGAGAAAAAACTGAGTTTCTGAAACCTCTCTTCCACTTCCAGTGGATGCAAGCTATGCATAGAAAAATAACATCACCGTTAATACAACGTATTAATTAGTGTGCTGAGTATTCATAGACAACCCTTAACATGAAAAAAAAATACTGGCATTCAAAATACAGGGTTAATTAACAGTTAAAGCTTTACGATAAAGTTTATATGGAGAAATACATCACAGTAACACATTACTCTACAAAGTAACCAAACTGAATGGCAAATGAGTTGATAGCACAAAAGTGCAGAGGTTGAGTTCAATTTCTAGTTTCATTTAGTGCAGATGCCGCTATATACAGTAAAAAGGGAGTCAAGTCCATATCAAAAGGGCAGTTTAAGAGGTCAGGGTCCACGCCCACGCATTTCATCACAATAAGCAAAAGTGAGTGTGCCCCCAAATTTTTAAGGCCAGCCAGCATCAGCAAGTGGCAACAGCAGGCGAGTTACACTTTGTACAATAATAATACAAATACATAATTCGTATCTATCTACACAAACTTAAACAACAATGTACACTTCATGAATATTTACATCAGTACATAAATTAAGTTAAAATGACTACATGACTGAATCAAAAATTAACTATAACCGCCACAACACCCGCAAAATTCGACAAATTCAATCGGATACAAAGCTGATGGGAGAAGCTTGCTTCCCAAATCAGCTCTGTGACATCAAACCATTCACCTTCAATGGTCCAGGGATTTCAAACGGGCAGCCGAGTGACTCGGAAGAGTCGCACAGTGGGCCAGAAGAGCGATGGAGGCGGTGTGACCCCACCAATGGATTGCTCTCTGGACAAGGAATCCATTGGTGGGGTCACACGTCCGGTTCGCGTCCCATTTAGCGACTCTGGAGCCCAAAACGCGTCCAGAGTTTTGGCCGCCTCTACCGCTCTTCCGGCCCACTGTGAGTCGTTTCACCTCTCCGCCTCCGTCGCACACATGGGGCTCTCCCTAAGGGTGCAAGAGAGACAGAGCGACAAACCGATCTTCAGAATCGCTCGGCAGTAACAAAGTTCCATGCGGAAACCCACTGAGACCAGCTTTCCCCGCGGCTGCCTTTGATTGAAAGCAGACTGCTGAAGGCGAAGGCGGAGGCTTGGTGTCAGTACCGACGGCGGTGCACGGCCTTGGCGCACGAGTGCTCCGACTCGGTGGCCGAGGGCCTGCCGCGTGGTGTTGGGCGTTCGGATTGTCAGCAGTCGCAGCCGCCGCGGTCGCGGTCGCGATCCCCCCGTCCGCTGGGCGAGGGCGGCGGCGGCAGCGGGCTGAAGTACGTCGAGGACCGCGACGACGGCGACGGCGGGCAGGACGGCGCCGGCGTGGGCGGCGGCGGGAAGGGGTCGCTGTCGTAGCGGTAGTCCGACTCGTCGCACACGTCCGTGGAGCAGGGCGTGGGCGGCGGCGGCTGGTTCATGGCCCGGTAGTGGCGGTAGGGCCGGTACAGGCGAGACTCCGCGCGCCGCGTCGAGTCCGACGTGGTGGCCGGGCTGGGCGGCGGGTTCAGCGTCTCCCGGGGGTAGCACAGCAGCGAGGACGACGACAGCAGCGCGGCGTGGTTGGCGCCACCTGCAACGGCACGGTGTTCGTCAGCACCAGGGGCAGGGGCACTACCAGCACGGCGACGGCACCTTGACCACTTCACCGCGCAGGCGGCCAAAACTCTAGACGCGTTTTGAGCTCCAGAGTCGCTAAACAGGACTCGAACAGAACGTGTGACCTCACCAATAGACTCCTCGTTCGGAGAGCAATCCATTGGTGGGGTCACACGTTCGGTTCGGGTCCCGTTTAGCGACTCTGGAGCTCAAAACGCGTCTAGAGTTCGGGCCGCCTCCACCGGTCTTCTGGCCCACTGTGCAGCGGCGACTTACCCGACGCGGAGGAGCTGGAGGCCCCCGTGATGTGGCTGCGGTGGTACGACGGCGACCCGCTGGTGGAGCCGCTGTTCATGGCGGACATGCGGACCACGGCGTCGGCGCGCAGGCCGTGGCCCCCTTGGCCGTGGCCCCCAAGGCCGTGGCCGTGGCCGGACAGCGAGCGCGCCCCGTTGGCCGCCCGGCCGCTGGCGACGCCGCGCCCCGCGGACATGGCGCCGTTCATCGGGGAGAGCGGATCGTGCGCGGGGTCGGTGCGGTCCAGCACGTCCTCGCCGTGAGACACCGACTTCCTGCACTTCCTCGCCCTGAAACCAACAACAAAACAAAGCCAGCGTCAACAACTTGCAAATCACCACCACACTGGTAGCGGCGGGTCCAGACGGGGGGATGGGAGGGGCTAAGCAGCACTTTTCGCTTGACCAGGAACAAAAAGTGGCTTCTTGCCTGCCTTTCGAGCGACTTCCTGGGGCCCAAGGGGAGCCAAGTGTCCTCTTGCCCCTTACTGCATCCGCGCCAGCGCACTGTGGGCCAGAAGACTGGTGGAGGCGGCCAAAACTCTGGACGTGTTTTGAGCTCCAGAGTCGCTAAGTGCGACTCGAAGCGAACGTGTGACCCACCAATGGATTGCTCTCCGAACGAGGAATCCATTGGTGGGGTCACACGTTCAGTTCGAGTCCCAATTAGCGACTCTGGAGCTCAAAACACGTCCGATATTATGACCACCTCCAAGGGTCGTCTGGCCCACTGTGCAGCACATAGGGTGTCATGTGTACTCACCCAATCAGGCCAAACGCAGAGACAAAGAAGATCAACAATGCCACAAAGCAGTAGACCAATGTCAGGTAGTTGTTGTTGTCGGCTGCCACACTGGCAATCCCACTGGTCTGCGTGTCCAGCTCATTGACATCCAGTATGCTGTTTGTGTCGAGACAGGTGAGTTCATCGCTTCCGTCCATGCAATCTTTGATTCCATTACAAGAGCGTTCTTTTTCTGAAATATAATACAAAACGCATAAGTATTTATGAGGAAACATTATTTTTCACAGTACTGAAACTTTAATAAAATCTAGACATAGCATACCTATACAACGAGGAGAGCCACTTCGGCATGTGTCAAATTCTGGCCCACACTCAGGACAGTTAATTTCGTCCGACCCATCTGGACAGTCATGTTGGCCATCACACCGCCAAGATGCTCGAAGACAATCCTTCTGCCCGGAGGCACAGGTGAAGTGGTTTGGGCCGCAGGCTACACAAGTCCTCCGGTCTTCATCCAGTACCATACCAATAGGACATCCACAGACGTGCCCATTCTCACTCGGCATGCACAGATGAGAGCAGCCACCATGGCCTTTGGCGGAACCGCAAGGATGAACAGATATAAGCTGGACAGAACATTTCAGAAAACAAGATTATTGAAGAATTCAAACAAACATTGCAAGAAAAAATTATAGATAAATAGTTTACCTCAGGGGAAGGCATGGAGACAGATAAAAGGTCAGAAAGGTGTGGAAATTTAGGTGCTAGAACGGGGCTGGCATTGTGTCCAGTAAGTTTGTTCACTCGAGTCAAAGTTTGATGTTCGGCATCAGCAAAGTAGAGATAGTCACCATGAACCGTCAAATGGGATACCTCATTCAAGCCATCAATTAGAGTTTTCCTGCAAAATAGTCACAAAAACAGATTGTTAAAATTATAGAAAACAGCAAGAACATTTTCTACTCTAAAATTAAAGAAAGAGAACATACCTGTCACTCCCATCAAGAGCAGAGGTTTCAATTTTTCTGTACTGAGACCAATATATTCTATCTCCCTTTTCCCCCTGGTCAACAGCAATGGCGGTCAGCCCCTTTAAATTATCCGCAACAACTGCTAGCTGTTGTCCATTGAATCGTGCTGTCATGATGCGAGCTGATGAGCCATCAAGATTGGAGGAATCAACATCAGACCAAAACAATAAGCTGCAACAGAAATGCCGACATTAGTTTAATTCAAGGCAAAGATAACAAACAAAAATTTCATGTTGTTGATCTCCGGCAATGAAACACATACCCTCTGATGGGATGAATAGCCAGAAGCCGAGGTTTCAAGTCCTCTCCACGTACTACAGCTCCCAGTGGCTGAGTAGAGGAATTGTCCAGCCGAGTGACATTGATTGCATTAGTGTCGGCACACGTCCAAAACAGGAGTCGAGAAATAGGGTCCAAAGCGAGGTCAGTAGGATGTAGGGGTGTGCCTCCGGTGCGCCCACCAGCGACAGTAGTTGCAGCAGAGCCGTTGTCTCGAGACCTTCTAATTACATTTTGGCGGCTGTCAATCTGGAAAGCACACAATGTTTCATTAAATTTGAATCAAAGAGTAGATCAAATTAAAATTTTTTTTAAAATAAAATAAAATGTCAACAGGTAAAAGAACTTACCCAATAAACAAACTGAGTCAAAGGGTCAAATTCAACTGCTTTAACCCACTTCAATCCTTGAATAGGTAGAATCACATCCGGGCAATCTTCTCCAAATGGCATCAGGCGTGTCAAAGCATATTTCTGACCCACCAACAAAAAAGATTCCGGAGCTGGAAACAAAAACAAAAAAAAATGATTAAAAATTTAATGTTATTAAATGATTTTGAGGATAACAGAATTAATATTTCACATACCGAGACATGTAGTTCCATCAAATGCTAGAGTGTAGTGTGTTGGGCATCCACAGCGGTGAGTGAGAGTATAATGCCCTGTCACTGACTCTGGGGGAACAGTATCTGAGTCTGGTGCGGAGTCAGATGCAGGCAAGGCGAGGCAGAGGTGGGTGCAGTTGCCATTATTGATGGCACATGCATTCCACCCAGGTTGATGCGAACGATGAAAAACCACCATATCTGTGACATGGTCTAAGTGCTGGTAAATAGTTGTACGATTGAGACCAGTTGCCTTGTCAGCTCTTTCTATCACACCTGAACTCCAGTCAGTCCAGTATATGAAGTCCTGGAGTAGATGAAAGAGAAATATTTAATGATAGCAGGAAAAACTCCAAACAAGACAAGAACCAAAAATGAAACACAAGATTAAAATGAATTCTGTTTTAGTAAAGTACCTGATACTGTGTTATAGCATAAGGTCTGCCAGTGTCCCTAACAACAAGCATCCTATTTTTCCCATCCATGTCAGAGCTTTCAATTGCAGCCTGCGCTCCATGCAACTCGGTCCAGTAAATGCGATGGCCTGTGAGATCAATTGTCAACCCACTGGCACGGCCCAGACGAGTAATCAGGGTCGCGCGCAATGAGCCGTCAAGAGCAGCTCTCTCTAAAGATCCTGCACCTCCCCACTCAGTCCAATAAATGTATCTGCAACCAATCAAATTATTACTTACAAACCTACCACACACTGAATAGTTTAGTTTTGAATTATTAAGCAATTTGCCTACCCTTCTTTTGGGTACACAGCAAGACTGCGAGGTTCTTCAATGCCTTGCCAGATTAAAACTTTGCGAGAGCTTCCATTTAGACGGGCAACTTCTATCCTCTTACTACCTGTGTCAGCCCAGTACAGATTGTCTGCCACCCAATCAACAACCATACCTGAAAGTTTAGGAAAATGAAACACATAAATACAGATAATTTTAAAATGGTCTCCAACTTATTTCATCCAGAAATTTATATACCTTCAGGAGAATCAAGACCAAATTCTATGATATGTTCTAACACAGATCCATTCAAATAGGCACGGGAAATTGACTTCAGTTTCACATCTGTCCAATACATCAAGCTGTCTTTGAAGTTGTAATCAAGAGCACTGTGCAAACAAGAAATAAATTAGAATTTGAGGTTTGAGAAAAGTTGAGTTGCAGGCCATTTCAGCTTCATTTTTTCTCTCTCACCTGACATCTTTGATGCCACTGATTGGAATGAGGGAGCTGCTGTTGGCGTTCTGAATACTGATTTGGCCTATATTTTCCTTTCGTGCAAACAATATAAAAGCTTCTGGGACCACACAAGTTCTTCCATCCGAGGCAAGTTCATGTCCTGAAAACAAAATACAAATTTTTAAGTCCTGCTGATCCAACCAGATGAGAAAAAAAAATAAAGGCAGTAAAAGACTCAAACTGAAAATGAAAACATTTAAAAACCGTAAGAATGGACTCTACTAACCAACTTGGCAGGTGCAAATAAAATCATTATTGGGACGGTTGAGGCACAGCTGGCTGCATCCACCATTGTTATGACTGCAGTTATTTACGGGTATTGGATCTCCCATCCGGACAGCTTTCAAACCCATCACATTTGGCATTTGATCAGCAATAGTTTGCCTTCCACCTCCACTCAGTTTACTGAAACGGTTCACCCGGTCAATGCTACGCCGCTGCCAATCCGTCCAGTAGAGGTGAGGACCAAGCAGACTGAGGCCAAATGCGTGAGGAAGTTTGTCACTGACCACCTCAGTTCGATTACCACCATCAAAATCAACAACCTGTAGACAAATTAATTGAAAGAATGAATATATATCAAGCAAAAGGGTCTAAAGAAAGTATTACAAAAAAAATTAATAGGAAAATTACCTCTATTTTGTCAGTTTTAGCATCACACCAATAGAGTAAGGACTTTTCCAGATCAAGAGCAAGTCCATTCGGCCAACCAAGTCTTTCTGTTACAATCACTTTGCGCTGAGTGCCATCTAAAGCAGCTCTTTCAATTTTGGGACTCTTCTCATACCAGTCAGACCAAAACATCAATCCCCTTTCTGGAGCAACAACAATTGCTCGTGGTTCTACCAAATCTTTGTTTATAAGAACTCTCCGAAAGGATCCATCCAACCTTGAAACTTCAATACGATCCGTCCCTGTATCAGTCCAGTAAAGATTTCTTGCAACAACATCTATCGCTACACCATCTGGATGCTCAATTTCTGACACCACGACATCTTCCTGGCCTGAGCCATCCAGTCTTGCCCTTCTTATGCCTCTTGCTTCATCATCGGTCCAATACAAAAATTTGTCCACAGGATCAAAATCAATGGCAATGGCATGCTTGAGGCCCTTGAGAGGCAGAGTGAAGCTGGTGTAGTCTGGAGTATCAAGAGAAATGCGAGCAATGTCCACTCGCTGCACCAGAAGCAGAAATTCTTGAATACCTGCAATCGCAACAGTACATCAGTTAGAGGAATAAATAATCTTATGAAACTGAAAATAGTACAAACATAATATTTTTCATCACTCACCATCAGCACATGTGTAGTTGTTGATCAATCGAATGCCAGTGGGGCATGCACAAGAGAAGCCAGGGGAAGAGGGAGAAAGAAGACACAGGTGTGAGCATCCTGCGTTGTTATTATCACAGGGGGTTGCTACAGGAGGCTGCCTTGCTGCGTCCCAAACTTTTATATCCATGGGAACATTTTCACAATGAATCATTTCACGAGGGCCTGCACCAGCGCCCGTAAGTCCAGCTTTGTCATATGGAAAAGAATGAATAGACCTGTAACAGAAAGGAACAGAAGGAGTCAAAACAGAAAAACAAACAACTCAACACAATTTTATAATACAGCTCAGTGCAAAGAATACACACCAGGTTTTCCAATCGGTCCAATACAGCTTGTTTTGAAATAGTGATAAAGCAAATGGATAAAGAATGTTTTTATTTAAAATCTTTTTTCTATTTTGACCAGAAAAGTCCATTGATTCAATAAATTTAAGCCTTCCATCCAGCCAATAAAGAGTACGAGTGGAAAATTCAACTGTAAGTCCATTGGGCCAAAAAATGCCATCCTTCACAATCACAGTTCTTGTAGAGTGGTCACCATTCATACCAGCCCTTTCAATCTTTGGCACTTCACCCCAATCCGTCCAGAACATGAGACTGTAAAAAAACAAAAATCACACGTAAGACTTGGTAATCATCCAATACAGGAAATAAAAAAATTATCGTCTTAAATTTACCTGTCCTGGGGCGCCAGGGCAATCGCTCTCGGCTGGTCAAGATCCTCCCAGAAGAGCACTTTTCTGTGCTCTCCATTGAGAGAAGCCACCTCGATTCGGTTGGTTTCGCCATCAGTCCAGTATAATTTGTGAGTTACCCAATCAACAGCTAATCCATCAGGAGACAGAAGGCCAGTTGTAACAACTCCAACCTGAAACAAATTTTACTTAATGAGTGTGTCTCAATCAAAACAAATTATTTCAGTGTGATTAAGGTATGCCATGCCAAACCTTGTTGGAACCAGTGGTAGAAGTGCCATTGTAGTTGACGCAGATTATCGTCTCCAGTCCATGATCCGTCCAGCACACCAAGCCCTTCGCAAAGTGGTAGTCGACTGCAGCACCCTCTTGCAGCTCCTGAAAAACAGCACAAACAGAAAAAGTTATTTCTACACTAGAACGAGCTCTAAAAGTAACAAAAATTATTTAGAATAGTCTTACCTTGACGATGGTCGTGACCTTGGAATTGGATTTGCCGGCAGAGACATTCGCCACTCTAACATCTTTGGTGGTTGTGAAGAGTAAGTTTGGGTACCCTGAAACAAAACAAATTTGATTCATATTAAATAATATCCTTGTCAAGTACATGCAAATTAATTTTATCGAGGATAACAGAAGGGGCCAGTAAAAAATTGTTTATTATCTTTTCAATAAAATTATAGAATAACTATGAAAATGCGAATTCTGTCAATATAAATAATTGCTCAAGCTTTGATACGCTTGACCTAAAAACTACCAAAAAATGAAAAGAAAGAAAAACGCTGCAGGACGCCAGGGGGAGGGGGAGGGGGAAGGGAGAAATTGTGAAGTGTATAAAACTTGTGTCAATAGTTGCAGCATCCCTTGTTGGCTGCTAGTCAAGTGTTCGATTACACGGCAGCCCGTGCCGTGCCGTGCCGTGCCACGCCTCGCCGACCGGTCGAGGAGCGTGGCGTGGCGTGGCGTGACGCGAATCAACGAGAAAGGAAGGAGGAGGAATGTGTTTTACAACAAAGGCATCGACGCGGATGGCTCGGACGCCTCGGACAGTGGAGGGGCTGGGGCAGGGGGCGAGGGGCAGCCCTCTCCCCCTCCCCCTCCCTGCTAACAAGGTGCTACTACCGCCCGGCCGCCGCCGCCGCAGCGCCGCTGTAGCTGCTTTGCTGGCCGGCCGGACGATTACCGGCGTAAATCTAACTTCCTCGGTTCGGCTCGCTTCGGCCGGAGGAGGCGGCGGCGGCGGAACAGAAGGTGGGGCGTAATTGGGCTGTCAAAAGCTCAAATATTTCAACTCCTCGTTCCTCTCGCTCCGCGCTCCGCTCTCTCGCGGTGCGGTGCATTCCAGGTCCAGCATCCCGCTCGGGACCCTCGAGACCCTCGGGACGTATGGCACCGGCAGCACCGGCAGCACCGCCGCAGCGCAGAGCGATTTCCGCACAGCGCACAGTGGATTTGCCAGCAGACCGGCGCAGGCGGACAAAACTCTGGACGCGTTTTGAGCTCCAGAGTCGCTAACCAGGACTCGAACCGAACGTGTGACCCCACCAATGGATTCCTTGCTCGGAGAGCAATTCATTGATGGGGTCACACGTTCGGTTCGAGTCCTGTTTGGCGACTCTGGAGCTCAAAACGCGTCCGGGCTTTTGACCGCCTCCACCGTTCTGGCAAATCCACTGTGCGCGGCCCGGCCGGCCCACGCCTCGCGGTTCGCGCTTTCGCGCAAACACCCACCCAGCGTCGTTGACGGAAACGGACCGCCGACCAAAGACACCGCCAGGAAATCCGGCACCATTTTTCAGCGGGCATCCAGCGACGCGATGCAACAAGCCACGTCGGCGTCCGAATGAAAAAGTGCACCTGCACTGCCCCGCACTGCACTGTGTGTCACTCCCACGCGAACGGCCGGGTTGCATCTCCAGGCGATGCATTTCTCCAGCAGCCTCTTTCTCTCTCGCACTCGCGGAGCGTCGCGGCGTCGCGTGTGGGTGCGAGGGAGACAGTCTCGACGGGGCGCTCGGAATCAGTGGAGGTAGGCAAATTCTACCTCCAAGCTGCAGACGCCCCGCCGAGGGGTGCGGGGGCCTCCGGAGCCCGGCCGTCTGATTCCGAACACTGCTTCGTCGCTCTGTCTCTCTCGCACCCCTACGGACCGCCCCATGAGTGCAAGAGAGACAGAGCGACGAAAACGACTCTCGGAACCAGTCTGCTGCACGGCCTGCAGGGCCTCGCTGAGCATCGACAGCCCTAGTGGATGGGGCCAGCCAGCCTTCGCCGCACCGCGGAGGCGGGGCGGGGTGCGAGGGGGACAGTCTCGAGGGGGGCGCTCGAAATCAGTGCGCATGGACTGGCTTACCTCCGCCAGCGCCGCACAGGGTGCGGGGGCCTCGGCGGTCTGTTCCGCCGCTTGCGCTCTCTCTCTCGCACTCGGACCGCCCCATGAGTGCGAGGGAGACAGAGCGACGAAAGGGGTGGAACAGACGGCAGGCTGGCCCAGGCCGTCAGATCCGACCGTTTTCGTCGCTCGTCTCTCTCGCATTCGACGGGCCTCCGTGAGTGCGAAAGAGACAGAGCGACGAAACGGGCCGTCTGGACAGTACGGCTGCTGAGCTCCAGCCTGGAGAGGGGCCAGCGCCCCCAGTGCCACACAGAGCGGGGAGGGGAGGGGAGAGGGAAGAGCGGGGGTGGCGGCATCCCAAGAGCATGCGAGGACCGACTGGGCTCTCGCAGCGCTAAGGTGGGCTCTGACCATGTGCCCCTTGCCATCGGTGCTCCGGGGAGGGGAGGGGAGGGGAGGAGGCGGAGGGCGGAGTGGTGGGGTCAAACCGTCCCCGTCCCGCACGCCGTATTCAAATGGACTGGGCACTGGACAACAAGAAGCCCGGGCCGTCTGGACATAAACGTAGGTACTCCACTGGGAGAGACTCCAGCGCACAGTGTCCACACAGACGCCGCACAGTGGGCCAGAAAAGCGGGGGAGGCGGCCAAAATTCTAGACGAATTTTGAGCTCTGGAGTCGCTAAGGGGGACTCGAACCGAACGTGTGATCCCACCAATGGGTTGCTCTCCGAACGAGGAATCAATTGGTGGGGTCACACGCTCGGTTCGAGTCCCATTCAGCGACTCTGAAGCTCAAAACGCGTCCGGGATTTTGACCGCCTCCGCCGGTTTTCTGGACCACTGTGCAGGGGCAGCCTCCTGCCTCCTCTCTTCACCTCAACAGGACGGGCTGCGGCAATTAATAATGTCGACCCTTATCATGTGATCTAGTCAAACAACCCTCGGGGGCCGTGCCCAAGCGACGAGGCGGCCGGGCGAACCAGAAGAGCGGTTTGGCCGTCTCCCTCGCACCCTCATGGAGAGCCCTCCTACGGGTGCAACAGAGACAGAGGGAGTCCTGTTACGTGGTTTGTGAAGCACCTGTTATCGGGCCCGCGGCCTTGGCGGCCAGGTAGGCGCACAGTGGGCCAGATGACTGAGGACGCGGCCGAAACTCCAGACGCGTTTTGAGCTCCAGAGTCGCTAAACGGGGCTCGAACCGAACGTGTGACCCCACCAATGGATTGCTCTTCGAACGAGGCATCCATTGGTGGGGTCACACGTTCGGTTCGAGTCCCATAGCGACTCAGAAGCTCAAACATCGTCTATAGTTTTGGCCACCTCCCCCGGGTTTTCGGCCCCCCAGCCCACCCCCCCCTCCCAAATTAAAACACCCCACTCTCTCTCCCTCCCCCCCCCCCGCACTCACGGCGCCTCCGTCCTGCATGGGTGCGAGAGAGACAGACCGACGGGCTCGCAGACTCCCGGACAGCGCCCGGGACCCCAAGGGCCCCCGCGGGGAACCCAGGGGGTAAACACTTTGCGTTTACCCGAAAACCCAAAATTGGGTTTTACGCCAAACGGGAACTTTGGGAAAAGACGAAAAAGGAAATTTTCAGGGGGAAAGAGGCGCAGGCGAAAAATTAAACCCCCGTTTAGGGAGAGTCGTAAAGGGGCTCAACCCAAAGTGTACCCCCTTTCCCGGGAGGAATCCTTTGGTGGGGTCACACGTTCGGTTCGAGTCCCATTTAGCGACTCTGGAGCTCAAAACGCGTCCGGGATTTTGAACGCCTCCACCGGTCTTCTGGCCCACTGTGCGTGAGCCGAGCGTGAGCCTGCTCACTCTCCAGCCCCGGCCGGCATGCCCGGCATGCCATCAAGATCGGCACGATTGGCGTCACTGCCCCGCTCCCTGCGGATGCGGAAAGCAAAAATAGCGCCGATCTACAAAACCGTGGCGCGCGGCCCCGCGGCCCGGATTACTACAGTGTGCAACTTCAGTTCGAGACGCCCCTCACTCCCATCCTTTTCGATTTCGAAGGGGGTCGTGGACGCCCTGCGAGTGGGAGAGAAACAGAGCGATACGGTCCGCCCCAACCGCAGCAAACCACACCATACCACGGCAGACTGATTCCGCGAGGGTCCTTGTCTCTCTCGCACAAACGGGGCGTATACCGAATGGGTGCGAGAGAGACAGAGCGACAAAAACGACTCTCGGAATCAGTCTGCGGGCGGCATGAATTCTCTAAATCAATCGCACTGCAGAGGGAGAGAGAGGGAGCTGGAACGACGCGATCAAAACATTTACCCCCCTGCGGCCCGCGCGCGTGCAACGTTACATTGAACAGCACAGCAGTCCAGCAGCAGACATCCCCCACAAATCCAAGCGCTCTCTGTCTCTCCCGCACGCGCGCGGGGCGTACCGCACAGGGGTGCGAGAGGGGGGAGAGGGGAGAGAGGGGGGAGGAGAGAGAGAGAGAGAGAGAGAGAGAGAGAGAGAGAGAGAGAGAGAGAGAGAGAGGGGGAGAGAGAGAGAGAGAGAGAGAGAGAGAGAGAGAGAGAGAGAGAGCGCTGTTCGGAATCAATCTGCAGGGGGACGGAAATAAACACACAGCCGTCGCCGCCCCCGCCCTCGCCTTGTCCCAGTGTACCAGACTGAACGCGCAACGCAACGCGCCGCCCTTCCAGAAGCAGTGAACAGTGAAACAACAGTGGCGCGGCAGGCTTCTCTCTCTCTCTAGCTCCGCCAGCTGCCCGGCTAAAACTGTCGGCGCTAAACGCGTGCTAACGCAGCACGTAGCACAGTGGGCCAGAAGACCGGTGGAGACGGTTCCGAGCCCGCAAGGCGCTAACCAGGACTCGAACCGAACGTGTGACCCCACCAATGGATTCCTCGTTCGTGGAGCTATCCATCGGTGGGGTCACACGTTTGGCTCGAGTCCCATTCAGCGACTCTGGAGCTCAAAACGTGTCTAGAGTTTCGGACGCCTTCACCGGTCTTCTGGCCCACCGTGCATCGTAGAGTCGAATGTTTCAGTCAAGTCGGGGCGGACTTCCCCCGGTTGGAGTCCTGGTACCTCGAGCGGGCACGGGTCCTGCATGCAAGCGAGCATGCTCCACCGTGGAGCACACCTACAAGGTGCAGCGGCCCCCTCCTCCCCCTCCTCCTTTTCCCCGAGCCCCCGCAGCCCCGGGTGTTGAGGCAGCGCCGGGTTGCAGGAAGGAGGAAGAGAGAGGGAGG